AAGTGAGGCCTAAGAAAGACAATCAGAAGCTCTGGGTGTAGGGCCCAACAACTTGTTCCAACAAGTTCCCCAGGGAATTCCGAGGCATCAAAAGTTTAAGGACCAATGCTCCAACCTATGCACACTCTGTCCCTTTGTAACTGTCTGCTTCCCTACCTTATAGCCCTAAAGGGAATGCAAGAGCCCCTCAGAGTTTGTATCCTATTTTGGGTCCTATGAAGTAGATTCACATCATACTGTTTATCCCATTTTTGAAATGCTTGGACTATAAGTGCACCCTTCTTTCCAAAACATATAATATCCTATAATATTTTGTCCACTTTTGTTACCTTCTTCAGTTCTGCTTGGAATTTGAAAACATATTAGAGAAAAAGCTATTCAGGTTCAGCACATTATATACCATGAATAAAGCTGACTTTAATGAAAAAGAGTAATTTTAAAATAAACAGAATTTATTATCTATTCAATGTGGTTAATGTTTTCAATCCCTTACTCAAAGTACCTATCTTCTCCCCCAACACACCCACATACACTCTAACTCCCATCCCTAAAATCTCAAAAACTTAAAGGAAATTCATGTGTACATGAATCCTTTTCCTAAGCAAGATCCTCCCACTCCTGGCCAATGAAGGAAAGTAGCAGTTTCATAAATAATAAAGACCCAAAACATATATTTTTAAATTCTCTCTTAATGTTCACCCTAGAAAACCATATATAGAATTCAAAATGTCTAAAGTTTAGAGACATTAAGATTTTAATCTAATATGTTCCTTCTGATTAACTTCCTATGCTAGAAGTTTAAAATCTCTAGAGATTTCTGGTAGAAAATATGGACTGTCGTACTAATATGGTACATGTATATTTAAATGACTCTGTGTGTGTGTGTATACATATTATACAGCACCTTTTACTTTAGGAAGAGGAACCCTGGCGGTGCAGTATTAAGCGCTCAGCTGCTAACTGAAAGATTGGCTGTTCAAACACTCCAGCCTGACTGTAAAGATTTACAGCCTTGGAACCCTAAGGGGCAGTTCTCCTCTGTCCTGTGGAGTCTCTTCGAGTAGGAATTAGATTCTATGGCAGTGGGTATTACTTTCAGGCATCACCACTAATTTAAGGATTTTCTGGAATGTTTTTATACATATCCCAAATAAAGTTTGCTAATAAAATTTCACAGAGAAGCACAATATTGCCTTTCAAGAATAAAGCCTTACATAATTCCAAAATTACTTTTTTCATATAGAAATAACACAAAAATCACCTTTCAACCCTTGAATGAGGGCAGCCAGAGGGAACAAAAGCCATATACTCTGCACTGCTTCTGTTATTAATGTGCTTATATAAGCAAGATTGTGGGCTTTCTGTGGAAGTACAAGACTTGCAAATCACATGACTAATAGACCAGCATATAGCTGGTACAGCATTTGTACACTGACAGCTTTTCAATGACAGATTTAATTAGATTACTGGAGTACTACCCATCACAGCACTTCAATTATTTATCTTTCATACATTTTTTTTTTTTGGTATCACTTCCTGAAAAGCTATTTGCAATTATATGATGATTGACTAACAAATTGCTACCATGTTTCTGAAAAGACATAGGAAGAAGAAATTGAACACACAGATTCCTGCCAAAAGAGCATATAGTGCTATAGAATTTTAAATTACATACATATATATATATATACGTATATATACGTATATGTGTGTGTGTGTGTATATATATATATATATATATATATATATGAGTTCTGGTAGCTCAGTGCCTAAGGCACTTGACTGCTAACCAGAAGGCTGGCAGCTCAAACCCACCAGCCCCTCCTCGGAAGGAAAGTTGGGCAATCTACTTCCGTAGTGATACTGCCTTGGAAACTCAAGGAGAGGTCGTTATGAGTCGGGTCCGACTTGACCACACATAACAATAACAACAAATATATATATATATATATATATGCATATATATGTATATATATGCGTATATATATATGTATATATATGTGTGTGTGTGTATATATATATGTACACACATAATGAATATTCCAAATCTGGAAAACAAATGTTTTCTATACACACATACACACATACATAAAAATATTTTGTGATCTTTTAAATTTAGAAATACTTTCTGTAGTATTATACAGACTAATTAGAGTATTTTCCCTAATATTTTACTTCGAGGTATCAACATTATCATTGTTTCAACCTAGGATTTGGTCATAACATCAACACCAAATAAATCTCAAAAAGGAAGGTTTACTCTTCCAACAGCAAACACTAAAGCCAACTCATATTCATAACTACTCATCTTTGAAACAAGTTTTGACATGAATGACTCAGCAATGCTGGGGCACTGCCAACTGGTGCAAAATGGTGTAACGGAACCAGAAGAAACCTGATAACTACGGAGGCAAACAATGACTCCCCCCTGATTTAGATACAAGTAAGGAAAATGTTGTTTTCTGAAGAAGAAGGAAAATTAGTTCCCTTCTTTTAAGATATCTTAACAGTTAAAGAACTGTGTTTAGGCACTATAGTACATATTTTGTGAAAAGTACCATAAGAAAAAAAAAAGCAATGATTCCCCATGGGCTTTCCACTCCAAAGATCTCACCATATAATTTTATAGTTCTTTGAACATCTAAATCTGGTTAAAATGAAAAGCTTTAGGCAAACAGCAAAAGAAAGAAAGAAAGATTTATGGTAGGTAGATACCCTCGACGGCACATAACAACAACAACAACAGATACTAAAGAAGAAAAAAAATGAATAAAAATTCACCTTCTACATAATAAGAGAAGAAATTTTTTAAAAAGTCCTTCTACATGATGAGAAAAGAAAATTTAAAAGCTAACAAACATTTCACTTCATTTCACAAAGAAATGTGTATATATGTGTGTTCTCATAATTTATTCAATTGTATTCTACTAGTTCATTTGCCAGGTGGGTCCAGTCCTTCAATCAGAATCCCAAGCTACTGAAGGACCAGTGGAAGATGTAGCTCCCATGCCCCAAGTAATTAATCTGGTATAATTAAAGCAATCTTTAATACGCCAGCAGAGCACTTGAGCTTCAGCCCCTCTTACCTTATTAATTAAACTGACAATATGGCACTAAGTAGCTGAAATACAGGGCTAAATCCACCTGCCCCCTACCCTGTTTTACTTAGGAGCAGCAGAATGACGGGAATCTGAGTGAGTGAGCCACATCAAATCAATATATTCTGCCCCTCTCACGGAGACACCTTTGTTCCGCCAATTTTCCCTAGAAGCCCACTTCAGTTTCCTCAATTATTTCAGGTCTACCAAGCAGGTTTCTAAGTCAACTATTTGTGGTTGCTACCTTCTAATTGTCATTTTTCTCCTTTCAGAAATATACACACAATGGCTTCTTTAATGCAGTCACTATGGTGCAAAACCAACTGCATGATTAGGAAATTGTCCAAACTCAGATTCCCTCTTTGTAAATTACTGAATGCTCTCTTTCTAACTTCTTCATCTGCACAGGTTCTTTGAATTATTTCTCTGTCTTCACCTGAGCTTACATCACCCTCAGATCCAGTGCCACATACACATTAAACTGTTATCCCTGATAACTGATGAAGACATTAGGACTAATGCCAATTCAGTGGCATGGGCTGGATACCTTTGGTTACCTGGTCTGTCACTGAATGGTCCATTAAGCAGTTTTCATTTCACCTTATGGGCCCATATAAAATCCAGAGTTGATGTTTCTCAAATTATAGGCAGCACTAAAGACTATTAAATATCCTCCTCTTTCTGTTTTTAAAATCATTTCTAAATTCACTGAAGACCCCCTAGGAAATTAAATCAGGCAGTATACATGGATATGTTTTAAAGTTTCCAGTTTTTCAAAGTCTTCCATCTTCTTCCTCTTTCCCCAAAATGATATTCATTGTTTTGCAAGATACACTAGTGGTAGTGTTTTTCATATTTAAAACAATGTAATTTCTTATTCTTATATAAATCTTTAAAAAAAAATTCTAACCAAATATAGAATCTGCAAAACACCGCATAACGTGGATGAACTTGGAGGACATTATGCTGAGCGAAATAAGTCAGTCACAAAAGGACAAATATTGTATTAGTCCGTTATTGTGAAAGTTAAGGAAATGTTTATCTATTGGAGGACATTTTCTTTGTTGGTTACCAGGGGTGGGAGGGAAGGGGAGGGAATGCTGTTAGATAGATAGAGATAAATATTGATTTGGGTGAAGAGAAGGGCAATGTACCAAATGTGAGTGACCAATATGGCAGCATTGAGGATGAGAAAGACAGAGAGAGTTACATGGGCAGTACAAACAACAAATATGAACCCCTTTGTAAATACAATACTGAGTTGTTAATGAAAGCAAACATGGGTATAGGGACGGATAGATGGGTGAACAAGCTAAACAATTATGTATGTCTAAATGGAGAGTGTATCCAAGATCATATACAGGGTTGGCAGACAATGGGCCTCTCGAAGAGTATGAAGGGATGGACACTGGGAGGAGGTAACTATGGGGAGGAAGTGGGAGGGGAGCTGCTGCATTGTAAATTTTGGTCAATGACATGAGACAAAGTATATGTGAACTGCTGTATGAAAAGTGAATTTACTCTGTAAATCTTCACCCGAATCCTAATAAAAAAAAAAAAAAAATTCTAACCAAATTATCATTGTTGTTTTGATTAATACAAGTGTTTTGTTAATACAAGCGGTGCCTTTAATTCTCTAAAAAATCTCTTATGTTTATTTTACATCATTCTTACATACAGGTTTATTTTACATTATTCTTACATACAGAACATACACATTTACATCATGCAGAGGAGTCATATGGCACTTAGCTGCTCTCAAAATCTATGTTGCTATGTAAGCCTCACTTAGACAGGCTAATACAGCTGTCAGGGAAGAAGGGCTGAACTACTCAAAGGGCTGCAGTGGTCAAAAATCTATAGTGAACAGTAGTAGAAAATGTACAATAAGTAATCACTTACCTCCTTTTGATCAACAATTATTTCGAGGTCTTCATCACTGCTTAGTTTTCCATATCCTTTTTCTTTACTTTTCTTGTGAAAGAATAATTTTAAATGATCATTTAGTTTCTTTCCATGAATAATCTTAATTCCCACTTAATATGCTTTAAAGATAAAAGTCTTAGCCTTGTTCACAAGTCACAATGCATCATGCTTTATGTCAATCTCTCATGTACACCAGCAAAAATTTTTATTGGTAAATTGCTGGCTTACAATTCTTCATTAAGTCTTTCCAGTTAGCCTCTCCCATCCAAATTATGCCTTTCATTTTATCCTGAATATTCCTATGCTTCTCTTTTCGATCCTGTAGTTCCAGAAAACACTCTTTAACACTTTGAGATAAATAAACAACTCCTTGAAGAGCCCCAGCACATTTTCCTTAAAGATTGAAACTGCATTTAGTAATTATACCATGCTTAATGCTGGAATTATTAAATATTTTAAATACCATATATATCTTAAATAAGAGAAGTATTATACAACTCACATAATACATCTTCATATTTACTACATTTGCTTACAAATCAGATGAAAATCAACATTGGAAAAACAATTTAGAAATATTTTCAAAAAGATAAATAAAATAATTTTCAATATTAGGAAGTTTTGGAAAGTTGGAAGATTACAGACAATCATTAAAAATGCAGTTTTTGGCCTTTTATCTTTTTCTCTTTTTTGTCCCGATGACCGTTCCCTACCCATGTCCCACATAGCAAAATCTGTACTATATGTTCTGAAGGTAGAAAAGAACATAGGCCATGACATCCATTTTACTGTTGTCCTACAGGAGAAAGATAACATGTCTGAATATATACAGATATTTAATTCCCAATGCAATGGTTGCTGGGAATACCAGAAATGTCATCTTGCTTCTTTATAATTTCAGAAACCACAATACCTCTGTAGAGGACCAGTAACAAATGGAAAAGAAAAATACCTACATAGTTACCTGTAGTCCAAGGTTATAATTATTTAAAACAATTCTTACCTTAAAGTATTAATCACATCAATGAGAATTAAAAGAATTTAAAAATCTATCTTATGCATACATTTACTGTGTTATATTAGGATCCTGTTCTTTCTGAGGGAAGGATATCCTTCAGCTAACATGACATAAATCTTAACACTGAGGGACAGGATGTCTCTTTTTTTCTTTCCCCCCTGTAAGATTCCAGAACTGGATTTACACATCCTGCCATCGGCCAATAGACATACCTCCTATTTTTATGTTTTACTGTAATAAAGAGATTTCTGAATCTTCAAGTATTAGGATGCATAAATAAAACCTGACTTCTCATTCATATATTAATGATTTTGACCACTTAGAACAGAACAGATGGCCACAGTATTTCTCTATATTATTATTCTTGTCCTCATTTGAGGTCCCATTTCAGGATTGATGGAAAACTGAAACCAGGTTGGTTTCAGGCAAGCCGACTTCCTTCCTATCACTTTGCTTTTGTATCTTTTTCTTTTATTGGTTGCCCTAAGATATTGTCTGGAGACCCTCTAATGCAAAACACTTAGAAATGGCTTTCCTTATTGATCTTTATACGTACCAGGTAGCTCATGTGCATGACCCGATTTCTGGACAAAAGGACATTAAAGAGAGATGGAATGTGGGTCCTTCCATCCATTTCACTGTCAGACATCCCAGAATTCTTTGCACCAATGGCAGTGGCTTCATTGCCAGAACTTGCTGACGAGGAAACCACAGATCTTGTCCGGTAACAGTGTTTATGATGTACAACATTAATTGAAGTTTCCCTGAATCATTGTCTTGACTTTGTAAACATTGTGAAATTTTTGGCTAGCACAAAAAGTCATTGAACCTAAAGTTTCGTTTTTTCTTAAATTTTTATCCAAGCACTTCTATGCACCCTGACTGCTCTTCCAGGTTTTTTTTTTAAATTTAATATTTATTATTAATTATATAATTTTCATAGTTCATCCCATGCATTTGGACTGCTCAGATTCTTTGCTACAAAAGCGCTTAATTTTCACCCTTTTTTAACCTCCCACTTTGTCTTTCTTGACAGTTACTGCTAATAGATAAAACAAGGGCAGCATTCACAAAATACAAGATTTCAATTACTGCCGATACCAAATTTCACTTCTCCAATTTAATGCCAACTCCTTATCTGATTTAGTAGTACATTTGCAGAGGAAGAGGCTAGGTCACGCTAGATCATGTCCCCTACTGCTGCAAAAAGTTGTCATTTTCCAAGAGCGGGGAAGGCATTCATTAGATTTCTGATTTTGTACTTCAGTCCGTAGTTTCCAAACTACAACGGTACACGGAGTCAGAAGTCTTACAGTTTTATTCTAGAATTAAGCAATATTTCCTAGTTCACCCCATAACCCCGGGGGGGTGTAATCCCTTTCTAAGCCATAATGGTATTCACTCACTTACTGCTTATTTCTAGAGCGAGCATAATCCTCTTTCAAGCACTCAGCTTCTCACTTTGCCTGCTAGATACATCAGCCAGCCGGGGCAGGGATCTTCAGCTCTCCTCCCTCCTCCCAGCCGGGAATCCCTGTCTTCTATCTATGCACTTTTGTCATGCACAAAAAATAACTCCTTAGCTTCTGCATGTTGGTCTTTCAAATTAGCCAAAGGACTGAACTAGGAGAAAGCAAGCTACCTCTCTACTGTCCAAGGGTGAGGGGGCAGGGCTTCTGTGGGAGGAGTCATCACTTCCTGTGCTCCTCCCTCTCCCGGGGCAAGACTCTGGAGCTGCATTTCAGCTGAGGCAATGAATTTGGCCGTCTCAGGGGTTTGACTGCTAACCAGAAGGCTGGCAGTTCAAACCCACCAGCCACTCCGGGGAAGGAAAGTTGGGCAATCTACTTCTGTTGTGATACTGCCTCGGAAACCCAAGGAGGGGTTGCTATGAGTTGGATCTGACTCCATGGCAGTGAG